CTCTCACAAGGAACCGTACCATGACGTCAAGGGCCTGAAAAAGCACACCGTAACCAACGCCTACGAATCCAGTAAGTGCTAACTGTCCGGAAAAAAAGGTCTGATGAAGGCGTCTAGGAGTAACGATACACCGACGATGCCTGCCCCGAAACACGCCCAAAATGTCATGGACGGTGTTAGGCCGATCTGCTGTACGAGGGGTACTATCAACTTTCCGATAACGTTGCCAACACCAAACGCAGTGGGCAGAAACGAAGACTGAATTATACTCACGCCCTGACTGAAACTGCCCGTGCGACATCATTGTGTCAACCACCCATGCACTTTAGGCCAAAGAGACATTAATTAAGGCAATACTACAAATCTGATATTGATAGTGTTTTATAGTGTATTTCGAGTAATTCTGGGGAATTTGGCAGATTTTTGATAAATCTGACAGATTTTTGAAGCGCACGTAGCAGAATTTAGTCATGACCTTACGGTCACCCTGGCTGCGTGGCCCTTGCCAGTGCATGCATCGCGCTAGGGGCTGAATAGCTGTACGTATTGAAACATAATCCAAATCCACTGAGTACAGCAATTCAGCAATCTAATGGCACCATCCAGAAATGCAACCACCCGCCAGTACGACCACGACAGTTGGGGCTGGGTAATTGTGGCCACAGCGTTCACCTGCTGTTTGGTTCTCTATGGTAACTTGAAGGCGCTGGGTGTCCTCCTCATTCCGATGACCAACGACCTGGCAAGCGACCTGTGGCTGGTCGGATGGGTTGCAGTGTTGTACGATATTATGCATAATTGTATTGGTAAGTACACACGCATGAGCACAGACTTTGCCAACAGTAGCGTGGCCAAGGTTTTAAAATTTCAGCATTGAGAGTAGAATCTTTAAAGCAAGGTATTTACTTAAGAAATTGAGAATGTGTCCCAGTGTCCCAATGCGCGCAGTGGTCTTTGTTTGAAAGTGTTCATGGTATTTGCCACCAGTACCGGCCGTTATCATGCGTCTAACCAAGAGTTGGGCCGAGTTGTTCACCCTTGTGTGTAAGATCCGTGGACCAACGAGTCCTCGGACAACGACCTGTGGCTGGTCAGCTGGCTTGTAGCCGTCTACAGAATAATGAATGGATGCATGGGGTAAGTACAAGATTCGAAATTTGAACCATGCGTATTTTCTGGCCCGATTGAAGTTAAAATTTAGGTTGCATAATTGTCAATGGGATGCAACGTCATACTATTTTCAGTGCCCATGTTTACACCCACCAAAAACTTCCTCGAACAGAAAATAATAACACCCGAACAGCCGAAACCCTGACAAATTGGTGGTTTTAGAAAGTGTACAATTGACACACTTATTGACACACTTATTGACACACTTATTTCAGACCAGAACATCTTTATTCGTGAGTTGGTTTTTTTGGTTACTTTTCTTACTTTTTAATTTTGTTTTCGGTTTGTTCTCAATGTCAGGGAGCCATGGACACAAGGGAACAGTCAATCGGTAGCGTGAGGAGAAGAGTTTTGCAACAGAGACGGGCACGACAGTGATGGGAAAAGGTTCAGTAGACACTGAAGAAGCACGTATAACTGCAGTAAATTAAGTGACTCGAGGTGTAATTGTTATGCCAATTTGAAGCATGCGAACTGGATATCCAAACATTGACGTTATTTCTGCAAGGCTTCAGTGTTACAGCTTTGATGATTTTTATCTTTGATTCGATACAACTTGACTAGTTTTGACAGTACATGAAAGTTTTTTGCTTCCTGGACCTGTTTTCTGGTAGTGTAAGTCTGTAAATGTTTTGTCAAACAATATTATGATGATCTGACACTGAATGTTAATTGTCCTGGATTTATCAAGCCATTGAAGTTTCCTGTAAATTTAGTCACCAAGATTGAGACGATGTGCGGTTTCATAATTTGAATATTTGTGAGTAGGCTACCTTTACTGTTTTAGCGTGGATTGTGGCCTTTTTTTAAACAAGACTTTTATAGTGAACTTAAGAGGCATTAAATTCAGAACAAAACCTTATCTCTTTTATTCCAAACTTTCAAATTTGCATGTAAGTAGGAAATAATCTTGCCATTAAAAAAAACTTGTGAAAATCATGTGAAAATCAACTGTTAAAGAACTTGCATCGCCATCTTGAGAATTCTTCATGGTTCAACTTCAAGGCTTCTGCATTTATTGAAGCCAATTAAATTTCATTGATTATGATTATACACATTTTGTTAACAGTGTCAAATAGATACAATTAACGTACAGTATTTGCCAACAGTATTTTGATCCCCTTTGTCTCTTTTGTAATACATGTTTCCAGATGGCACTCTTTATTGTCGATTAATTGCAAAATTTGTATCTAGATATTCATCAAACTAGCTCCCTTGAAGCAACCCACAGACCTCAGCCCGCCTTTTCAAGACCAGTTCAACCTGTTCAGTTAACGACAGTTTCCAGTTACAGACCAATTCAAAACGACTTAACAGTTGCAAACCAGTTGGCAACAGCTCATGTCAGTTGGAAACCAGTTTGAAACCATGTTCACACCAGTTGAATCAGTTAAACCAGTTGGAACCAATTAAACCAGTTGAAAACCAATTAAACCAGTTGCCCATTTCCTCCCAGTTAAACCAGTTGGAAACCAGTTCATACCAGTTAAACCAGTTGAAAACCAGTTAAACCAGTTGCCTAGTTCATACCAGTTAAACCAATTGGAAACCAGTTCATACCAGTTGAAAACCAGTTAAACCAGTTGCCCAGTTCTTACCAGTTAAACCAGTTGGAAACCTGTTGAAACCAGTTAGAAACCAGTTAAACCAGTTGCCCAGTTCATACCAGTTAAACCAGTTCAAAACCAGTTCAAACCAGTTGAACCAGTTGAACCAGTTAAAACCAGTTAAAACCAGTTAAAACCAGTTAAAACTAGTCACCAATTCCCAGTTCAACTAGACCAGTGGGGACCAGTTGAAACCAGTTCAACTGGTTTCAACTGGAATTTTCACCTTGAACACGAATTCGTTGATCCGCAGCTTCCAAATATTTCCGCCGGGTCGAGCTTGTTTGTATTAGAGTAGAATCTGAAATGTTGTATTGGATTGGAGGGCCCAATTGTTTACTTGGATAAAAAAAATACAACTGTCCGGAAATTGATTTACGAAACATTTCAGTTTGGTATTCCATCGGAAATTATCTTCTTGTAATCGAATGGAATGGATGATTTTATTATGTATGAATTTGGTATATATTATAAAACTTTAGGAAAGACAATAAGATAAAATAGAATGGACGTGAGCCGTATAAGACACTTGCTCACTCATGAGTAAAGTATATTTATGACGTTTTGGTAAACCAACGGTTCTGTAATAAACATACACTTATTTAAAGGTAGCCAGTGGACCATTTTCAGCCATCCAAAAAGTAACCTACTATAAATTATTGTTTCTCCTCTGGCATGCGGTCATCTTGAAGAAAACACCATTTCTAAAGATGAGTCAAGTGACACATTTTAAAGAACGGATTGACTCACCAATGAAAGGACATTATGAACACACACAAAATCTGGACAAACACCAGCAGGCTTTAGGCGATTTGCCAAAAAAATCTGAAAATCACGCGTACAGTGTACGTGATTTCATGAGCTGGTTATATCTTTTAAGCTGAGCACCCCTAGAAATCAAACAGGATAGATATTTGCCTCACGGCCTTGCGAGGCAGAAACTCAGCAAAGATTCCCCATACACGGGGATATTGTGTGATCCACACGTGCTGAGCAAACGGCCTCGGGTGACTTTGTGCTCTGCACGTTGCTCTCGTGTGCGGCGGGCTTTATAGTACCCGACAAAAAGTCGAATACATTTACGAATCTTTGCACCACATCGTACCGAAGTTGTATCTAGGCTGTGAGGTCAAGTGTATAGCGTAATTTATTGTATTTTAGTAAATGTTTTTAGTGTTAACTTCAGGAATCAGTTTTTCAACAGTTCAATAGAGCAGATTTATAGCAGCTATCATGGAGGGTGGAGATGCATTTTGCTGAGATATGCATGAGTTAACCTTACGTGCATTCCTTCTTACGGAATATTTTTTTTTAAAGATGCCCCCCCCCCAGATTGCCGCTATACGCATGAGGTCTATTTGTTCTGTCCTGAGGCATTTTTTTATACCATTGAATGGCAGGTCAACACCACTGTGATCGCGATTAAGAATTACTATTTTTCCTTGTCTCGGCAGGGCCAGTTGTCGGAGCACTAAGTCGCTTGATGGGCAGCCGTCCCATGATGGTGTTTGGTGGACTTCTTGCTACGACTGGCTTCATGTTAACGTCAGTATCATCCAACGTTTTCGCTGTGGCTGTTTTTATTGTTGGATTATCAGGTACAATTATATCCCCGGTCAATATCAAGAACGGAATTTTTAAGTGAATGTTGCCAAGGATTGAAGACTGAGTGGCTTTGTTTAACTCAAAAACTACTGAGCACCTCTCGCTCAAATGACGACTAATCAATACAGAAATTCCTTAGCAATCCAGTCATTTTCTTTATTTTGCCCAAAACAGTAATAATGTGTAAGAATGTATGCAATTTATGATAAATTATACCGAAAACAGTTGCACTTTTGTATACGTGCAAGTGGTGGTTCACACTTTCTGTCTTGGCTGAGTGTAGTATAGGCCTATACCACAGTTGGCAAAAGTTGATCAAAATCGTAGGCAAGGATTGGTCATGGATTCGAACGACGCACTTTTAATCTGATATTGGTTAATTTTGTTGTCGTCCATACATAATCTTAGGGGTTTTCGAAATAAAAACTAAATTACTTCTAACCTAACTTGCGAGAAAAAAATACTACAATAAATACACTTTCACACTAGTTATACGAGCCTGTTGATGATTTCTAGCTATCAGATGGAATTTACTGCAAACATCCTATTGGGCCAAGCTTAAGTCCAGACAATTTTTTTCCCAGGTCTAGGGACTGCATTTTGTGCGTTTATCAGCTTGGCACTCGTGGCTTCATACTTCAAGGACAAATATCCACTTGCCAATGGACTATCAACAATGGGTTGTCCTATTGGGATGATGGCTTACGGACCAGTTACCCAGGTGCTTCTGGGCACCTATGGCTGGAGAGGAACCACGCTCTTAGTTGGAGGCATCTCGTTTCATCTGGTGGCGTGTGCTATGTTAGTGCGACTGGACCCATCTTCCTCTTCACCAGACAATGAACAGTACCAAGAAGTTTCGGTAAACGATGGGGACGAAAACCAGTCGTCGGGAGAAGGCAGAGATTGTCCTGATGACAAAACTGATAACTCAAAGAAGAGTTGCTGCGATCCAGACCATCGACAAAATAGGACTGGAATGTGTTGCCGAAACATTGTGAAAGCAATTGATATGGCTTTGCTGACAGATGTCAGGTTTGTTTTGCTAATTTGTGCGAGATGCACAGCCAGTTTTACCTATAGTGCATGGGTGGTTTACATGGTGTCGCACGGGCAGTTTCAGGGCCTGAGTGAAATTCAAGCTTCATTTCTGCCCACTGCGTTCGGTGTTGGCAACGTTATCGCAAAGTTGGTATTGCCACTCCTGCAGCAGATCGGCATTAAACCGTCCATGACATTCTGGGCGTGTTTCGGGGCAGGCATCGTCGGTGTATCGTTCCTCCTTGACGCCTTCATCAGACCTTTCATCGGACAGTTAGCTCTTACTGGATTCGTAGGCGTTGGTTACGGTGTGTTTTTTCAAGCCCTTGACGTCATGGTACGGTTCCTTGTGAGTGATGACCGGTTTGTTAGTGTCCTGGGATGGCAAGGAATGTTCACTGGCATTGCTGGGACACTCGGTGGATTGATATCAGGTTGGTTCGTTGAACATAATTATGTTTTTAATACAGAGGAGCAGTGCAGTGAACCATCTTAGTTTACATCAATAATTTGTACTTTACATTTTGTTTGCAGAACCTCAGGGGAAAAAAAAATGATAAAGTCCCGTGTCATTTGACCTGATAGCCGAGTCATTGAGAGTGTAAATTCTACCAGCCTAGCACTGCTTGTCTGTATGCACCCAGGGTCAACTTCGTTGTTTATCGCTCTGAGAATCTTCTTGCCAACGGTTGCTCTTTTTTTTGACGGGGGTAGGGTGTACACAATTCTTTCATCTCACAACTTTTAACAATGATATAAATGATCATTATTAAATAAAAAATTGAAACTTAAGTACAAATATTGTGGTTTTTTTCACAGGATGGATTTACGAGTGGACGGGCGGTTTCAGCATAGTTCTTTGCGTGTTTGCTGGAGTGACGTTGTTGTCTATTCCCTTCTTCGTTACCGAAGCTCTATACGCCAAGCGAAAGAAACTCTAACATGGATCATTCTATAATTTTAGGGGGCCCTTTTTTCTCGTCCCTGTTGCATCTGACATGTACGAATCGATTTGTTAATGCTGGATCCACCCTTAATGCCCTTTACCCTACAAGTGACTGTCAAGCTAAACCAACAGTTGAGAATAGTTTGAGCTCATGTTTATAATGATACTGAAAGGTAAAAAAGTTCTGAGTTATCAGGAACAGGAACAATGTAACACATTGGACCCGAAATTTATAACATGATCATGCGTTTGTGTGACAGTTAAGGTGCATGCACGGACAGCCGATTACAGCCTATTGCGCTCTATGCAGCCGAACATCAACGGTAGAGGGCGCTATTGACGAGACGAATTCGTCATGTCGGTAGCGCCCTCTACCGTTGATGTCGTTCGGCTGCATAGCGCACTATAGGCGGCCTATATGTAAACTGACATTGTATAAATCCAGTCTTGGACCGAGACTAATTCCACCTTAGCTACAGTCTTCGAATGAATAACTACAATGGTTTGATTTTAAACGAACTTCAAAACACTTGTAGAGAGGCCTTCAATCGCAACTGTAAAAAAAGATTGGGTTTTTTTCTTGTCAGAAAACCCCGAAGTCAATTTAACACTTTCGCCATTGTTACTTGAATAAAAATCCTAGGGTTAACTTTCTCAACAGCAGTTGTCAAAGCTTCCGTAAAGCAAAGGATAAAAGAAATCAGACATCGATAAACATGCAACTAATTAAAAGTTTAAACCACGATCAGTTTGTCGTAATAAGCTTAGTAAAAACAAGACATTTAACATAGCAATTATAATTTGCATACAGTGTTGTAAGACGAATTTCACGCAAACGGGGCACACTACCGTAAATGGGCAATTCCTTGGTTTTGTAACTAATTTTATTTAATTTCCAATGTAAAATACATATTCCTCGCGTTTTTTTAATTTGAAGAACACATTTAGACTTATAAAATGAACTTGTTTAAAAAAAAACTAATAATTTGAGTGACCAGTTAATAATCCAAGTGTGCAACATTTTAGTACAACATGTAGTGTAAGTTGTTAACAAGATTCTTATATATGCTAACAGTTCTACCTATTTAACCTCCGCATACACTTCGAGGCCTATTGCTTGACAGCACAAAAAGGAAAAATAATGTACTCGATACGGATTCCTCGTTATTATTCACCATTGATGATCTCTGCCAGTCAACTAGACTCTTGGTATTGGTAAGTCTAAGCGAAATGTCTATATAATAAAATGGCAAGAAAGTCTTCCAATTGAAGCGTAGTTAAATTTTAACTAATGGACTTTTTTGTGTTAAAAAAAGATTGTTACTCGTAATACCTCTTCGGTACAATTTGGCGTCTTACCTCGACAAAGAGTTTATTAAGATTAAGTTCACGTTAAGCATGTAGCTTGCTGAGCAAAATACCAAGTGTCTTTTTGAGACTGTTTCAATCAATCAATTAATCAATGAATCTTACTCTATTTACCACATCACAATACAGAACGATATGCCAAGAAAATCATAAGATCACAATAATGTGGATGGGGGTCTCTAAAAAGCAAGGCTTGTTGAGTAGTGACCCCACATTAGTAATCAATTAAATTAATTAGTTCATTTAATGTGAGTTACAACAATTACATTACACACATACACAAACCACATACACAAACCCCTACAGATACACCAGACAATTTGCTACAAGGGAACATGAACATGGCGAGTAACATGACGAGGAAAACCGTTATACATTATTAATTTTTAAGTGATTGTAAGTAATGTTCAGCAAGTGAGCCTTATATTTATGTTTGAATAATGATTGACTGCAAATATTTTTAATGACGTATCCAGTGAATTGCAAAACAAAATTGTGACGTGGCATTTCTTTGGGAGGAAAGCGTATGAAAATATATGCTCTGGCAACCCGGACCAAGGGGCATTTTGTTTTTGAGTAAATGAAATTGAAATTCTATAAAGTTGCTTCGCATTCTCAGTAAACGTTCATGCAACGATTAAACACAAATATTCCATCGTATTTCCATTTTTTTCTGAGTATTTTCTGTAAGCAAGTAATAGTTGAAAGCAAAGCGTTAATGAATAGGTCAATAAAAGATTTGTTTATCACATTCCAAAAACACTTCTAAATAAAAATCTTCTAAATATTCGTTGTTATTGATTCGATTTTCCGTTTGGCTGGATCTCAAAAATCTTTAAAACAATAACAAGAATATCTTTAAAACAATTACAAGAATATCACTCCTTGAAGTAGCCTGTAATTAACACTAATTAAACGATACACAGGAATATATAATTTAGTCAAAAGTTTGTCAGGTATCAAATTTGAGTAAATATTGAGCAAGGAATGTTGTGTAATGATGTGATATCCAAAAACTAACTACTCAGAAGCTTCTTAACTACTGCGCGGTAAAACTATGTACTTTGTACTTAATCTAATATGATACTACATTGTAACATACACATATCAAAGTTCACGAATCCAATATTATACTGGATAGTCGCCTTCACAACAAGAGTCTACGTGAAATCCATGACTGACAATTACTATCCTCATGTGAACGGTTGAAATAAAATTCTCTTGGCAAAAGAGTTTTGGTATTATTAACATACTTGAGATCATCTACCTTTCTTAGTTAGGCAAAAAAAATAATAATAAGTCGGTCTCTGGTCAGCGCGCGCGTCGATTTTAATCATGCGCGTCAATCTTTTTTTTTCAAAATGTTCCGCGGTAGCTCCAACAGCGCCCTCTATTGCCGCACTTCCTCAATTTTTTTTACCAAAGAGCACCAAGGAATGGGAAATTGCACTAAGGCAAATGATCGAAAGCACCAAGGCAAATTATGGAGGACATCAATGTACATGAGGACACAAAAAAAGCAATATAGTACCCCACCTTGTCTGTACAATCCAAGCTTGAAGAAAAAAAAAGCAAAAAAAAAAAAAAAAAGCCGCGTCGCCGCGTCAATTCCGGAACTTTGGTCTGACCAGAGACCGAATATTTTTTGGGGGGGCCTTATAACACAAACTTGTCGGCAACAATACCGTTAGAGCAAACTGTTTAGAAGTGAATATTAATGCAATACATGAAGTGTTTGAACAAGTGTGAAGAATACATCATTTTACACAAATCACTACAATCCCTTTAGTTGCACAATATGAACAAAATACTTTTAACCCTCCAATTGCAATGCAATATAATGTAACTGAAATTTGCAAAAAGTAGCTGTTAATTGAGCTGCGAAAAAAAAAGAAATATATGTATAAATGAATGTGTTGTGGGGTTTGCAATTAAAACTGTTGCAATTATGTCTAATTCTAAGGTTCAAAATCTTCTGAGCCATGTATTGTAGATTCTCACTTAATTATGATCATGCTCTGACATTTTTAAATTATGAATTCATGAGGTCAACTGGTCCATAACACTATTAAAAGAAACACACTGTAGGCTTACAGTATTTCTGCTAACTTACATATTAGGTCTTCGGTTCAAAAGGATTGGCTTTCTGCATCTGTTTCTTTTCTGACATGTGGCAGTGTTGTAGTCGAGACCATCACAAGACCAGACACAAGACCAGCCACAAGTAACAGGGCACGAACAATGACACAGGAATGCCTTTGTTGTAGTTCATTTGAATAGCTTGTGACTTGGACTGAGACTGGAGGTCTTGTGTTGGTCTTGCAGGGTCTCCACTACAACACTGATATGTAGGCAGGAATGCAATTGCTTCATTGCAAATTGATCTCATGCACTATACGCTTCTTGTATAAGCCTATCATTAAAGACCACTTAATGAGAGCAGTTTTGTTGTTGAAATTCAGTGCGTGACAATACCCCCCAAAAAAGGTTTCTGCTCTTGCGTAACTTAGTGGAACAAAGACCTGCCTCAGATGTGACGTATTAGGTGCAAGGGGACTTTTGGTTTGACTTTTAACAATCTAGTTACTGTTGCAATAGGCCTTCATTAACTCATGGCTATTCACCAATTGCACGTTCTGTATATTTTCATGGGTGAATAGCATATGCAAACATTCACTCGTTTCCCCGTCCTATCGAATTGAAGGGCACTGGCGTCCACTTATTCCTTGCCCAAATTATTGTGAAGGAAACGCACAAGGTCACAAATCATTAATTTGGGGTAGATCACTTGTGCACATGATAAATACACGTTATGTTCACACGGAAGTGTTAAACCTGAGTCACTGGTTAAACAAAATCCGTCCAATGAGAACCGAAAGAAATTACCAACGTCCTTGGTTAAGGCAATGGGAACGAGCGAAGTACAAACATGGCATCCCACACAGTCAACCTTAAAATTAATGAAAGATACTACATCGAACGAGAACCAATTGCATGACAGTTACTACTACGAATACATTTGAATGACTCATGTTATTTAGCTTCCGACCCCGACCTTGCCTTTATGCAACACGTACTTGATCGAAAAGTACATAAGCCCACAGACTACAAGTACAGCTAGCACACCACTGCATGCATCGCGCTAGGGGCCGAATATAGCTTTACGAATTGGAACATAATCCAAATCCACTGAGTACAGCCATTCAGCAACGATATGGCTTCACCCAGAAATGCAACCACCCGCCAGTACGACCACGACAGTTGGGGCTGGGTAATGGTGGCCACAGCGTTCACCAGCCTTTTGGTTCTCTATGGTAACTTGAAGGCGCTGGGTGTCCTCCTCATTCCGATGACCAACGACCTGGCAAGCGACCTGTGGCTGGTCGGATGGGTTGCAGTGTTGTACGATATTATGCATAATTGTGTTGGTAAGTACACACGCATGAATACAGACAGACTTTGCTAACAGTAGCGTGGCCAAGGTTTTCAACTTTCAGCATTGAGAGTAGAATCTTTAAAGCAAGGTATTTACTTAAGAAATTGAGAATGTGTCCCATGATTCGAAAAGCAAGTGACTTGTGTTCCATAAATAAAATTAATGCTCTATCTAGATAAGTCTTTCCTTTA